CGTCTCTACTAAAAATGCAAAAATCAGCCAGGCATGGTGGTGGGCACCTGTAATCCCAGCTACTCGGGAGGCTGAGACAGGAGAATCACTTGAACCCAGGAGGCAGAGGTTGCAGTGAGCCAAGATCGCACCATTGAACTCCAGCCTGGGTGACACAGCGAGACTCGGTCTCAAAAAATAAATAAAAAATAAAACCGTTTATTTAAAAATTTTTAAATTGATAAATAAAATATTTATTTAAAATAAAGATTTAGTGGGTTTAGGAAACTATAAGGGCCAAGAGCAATGGCTCATGCCTGTAATCCCAGCATTTTGTGAGGCCAAGATGGGAGGACTGCTTGAACTCAGAAGATCAATACCAGCCTGGGCAACATGGCAAGACCCCGTCTCAGAAGGAAGGGAGGGAGGGAGGCTATAAGACAAATACTATTAGAAAAATATGTTTCTCTACCTACTAAACATTTATTCACATGCACTAGGATTTAACAAATAGGACCTTTCATTAGACACATTTGAAACTCTACCTGCCATATCAAATCTTCCATTTACATTAGATTTTAACTACCCAATAAAACCAGGGTTATTCACTAGCTGGCCCATCATAGCCAACTCAGATATCAAAGGTGGATGTATGGGAAAATACCCCTAAGAAGAGCCAATGATTTTTTTAAAAACCACTGTTGTTGAATCGGCAACCAAATAAGTTAATAATTACAGGATACTTGTGATTGGATGGGAGTTCACCAACCACTGTAAGATGAGCCCTAGGGATGCTACAGAGTAGGGAGGAGGGATAAAAGGAATATATTTCCAGGAGGCTGGGGCAGACAGATTGCTTGAGCTCAGGTGTTCAAGACCAGCCTGGACAACATGGCAAAACCCTGTCTCTATTAAAACAAAAAACAAAAAACAAAAAACAAAAAACAAAAAAATTAGCTGGGTGTGGTGGCACACACCTGTGATCCCAGTTACTGGGGAGGCTGAGGTTTGAGGCTTGCTGGAGCCCGGGAGGTTGAGGCTGCAGTGAGTCATGATTGCACCACTGCATTCCAGCTAGGCAATGGAGTGAGACCCTGTCTCAAAAACAAAACGAAAAAAAGAGAAATATATTTCCAAAAGGAAGAGGACTAGAAAGGGAGCAAGATAGAAAATTCAGGAAAGCAATTCAAATCTCAGATAACCAAAATATCCAGTTGAGTACATGTTGTTTCCTGGCTAGGCCACATAACTAAACTGTTACTTTAATTGGATGCCCACCTGTATCACAAACTATATAATTACATAGTTTTATATGTTATAGTTCATATACTCTATGCAAATATATCCCTATATATCACATATAACTAGATATGCAGTACATAAGCAGTCTATATTTTTCAAACTTTTTGGTTCTTTACTCACCTATAAACTTTGAGAAATATGAGAAAAAGAGGTTGGTCATCAAAACAAATAATTCATCATTATTACCTACAACCATTGTGCTAGACTGATCACTCATGGTGCCCACCACACTCACAGTCCACTTCTGAGAGCAACTGCCATGCTCACAGGAGCAGCCCTACATGGGAACATAGGTAAGTCAATCTTTACACTGGTTAACAGCCTCTAAGAAACCCAGTGCGAAAGCTCTACCCGAACAGGGATGAAGTCATTGGTTGACCTATGAGATCCTTACTCAGGAATTTAAACTACAGACACAAAGAGAGAATTAAGAAGTTGGTAGAAGTTGAAGCAGACATGAGAGAAAAAGAACAAAAAAGTAAGTGGGTGCTGTGGTCTCAATGTTTGCATTGCCCCAAAATTCATATGCTGAAGTTCTCACCCCCAAAGTGAGGCTCTTAGGAGGTAGGACCTTTGGAAGGTGATGAGGTCATGAGAGCAGAGCCCTCCTCAGTTGGATTAGTGCCCTTACAAAAGAGGCCTGACGGAGCTCATTTGTCCCTTCAGCCATGTGAGGACACAGTGAAAAGACAGCTGTCCATGAATAGTTAAGCAGGCCCTCACCAGACACTGAATTTGCCAGCACTTTGATCTTGGCCTTCCCAGCACCCAGAACTACAAGAAACCTTTTTCTGTTGTTTATAAGCTACCCAGTTTATGGTATTTTGTTATAGCAGCCCAAGTGAACCAAGACAATGAATGATATGAATGGCAGAGCACTGTAAGGCCTAGCTGTGTCATGGAGGTGCCTTTCATTGCTACGTTCTTATATAATCTCATTCTAAATCTCCATTTCTTTCTGCAATCTAAATGAATCTCTATTTCTTTCAACTAATAGTGTTAACACAATGGGAAGACATTTTCTTTACATAAAAATAAACTAATTATACTCTCAGGAGCTTTATTAAAAAGTAAAATTACTTTCACTCATTTTTGTTTGTTTGGTTTTTATTTGTATTGTAGAGACAGGGTCTCCCTATATTGTCCAGGCTGATCTCAAACTTCTGGCCTCGAGCTATCCTTCCACCTTGGCCTCCCAAAGTGCTAGGATTATAGGTTCAGCCACCACACCTGGCCCTTATTCTTTTTTTTTTTTTTTTTTTTTGAGATGGAATCTCTCTCTGTCACCCAGGCTGGAGTGATCTTGGCTCACTGCAACCTCCGCCTCCTAGATTCCAGTGATTCTCCTGCCTCAGCCTCCTGAGCAGCTGGGATTACAGGCACCTGCCACCACGCCTGGCTAATTTTTGTATTTTTAGTAGGTGGGCATATCATCTGAAGTCAGGAGTTTGAGACCAACCTGGCAACATAGTGAGATCCTGTCTCTACAAAAAATTTAAAAACTAGTGGAGTATGGTGGTGCATGCTTGTAGCTCTAGCCTAGCCTACTCAGGGGGCTGAGGGAGGAGAATCATTTGGGCCCAGGACTTCAGGGCTACTAGTGAGCTATGATCGTGCTACTGCACTCCACTTGGGTGATAGAATGAGGCAGTATCTCCAAAAATAAATAGGCCAGGCAGAGTGGCTCATATCTGTAATTCCAGCACTTTGGGAGGCCGAAGCAGGGGGATCACTTGAGATCAGGAGTTTAAGACCAGCTCAGCCAGTATGGCAAAACCCCGTCTCTGCTAAAAATACAAAAATTAGTCAGGCATGGTGGCAGGCGCCTATAATCCCAGCTACTTGGGAGACAGGAGAATCATTTGAACCTAGGAGGTGGAGGCTACAGTGAGCCAAGATCACACCACTGCACTCCAGCCTGGGCGACAGAGTAACACTCTGTCTCAAATAAATAAATAGGTCAGGCGCGGTGGCTTATGCCTGTAATTCCGCACTTTGGGAGGCCAAGATGGGCGGATCACCTGAAGTCAGGAGTTCGAGACCAGCCCGACGAACATGGTGAAACCCCATCTCTACTAAAAATACAAAAATTAGCTGGGCGTGGTGGTGCGTGCCTGTAACTCCAGCTACTCAGGAGGCTGAAACAGGAGGATTGCTTGAACCTGGGAGGTGGAGGTTGCAGTGAGCCAAGATCACACCACTGCACTCTAGCCTGGGCAACAGAGCAAGAATCCATCTATAAATAAATAAATAAATAAATAAATAAATAAATAAATAGACACACTAGTCACATCCATGCAGGAATTAGGTTTAAAACAACAACAACAACAACAAAAGGCAAAACAGCCCTAAAACCAAAGTGAAACTGAAGAGAAGGATCAAGGTATAAAGTTGTTAGCTGGGTAGGGTGCCGTGGTGTTCCCTTCAGATATCTCGTAACAAATACGAGGGGTTCCCAAGAGAAGCATCCAAAGAGATAAGGATTGAATATAAATTGAGATGGACATGGCTCTCCCCAGCTGGATGCTTGCCTAGGTAAGAAAATGTGCAAGCAGCTGCAGAGCAGGGTGTGGAAGAGTTCTTGGGAGAACTTGATATACATCCCCAGGAGGAAGGGGTATGCATGACAAAGACAGAAATTAGTGCCTGCTTCTTGCTTGCAAAAGTCTGAGGACAGGAGGCTGAATGAGGCTGCCCATGCAGCAAGGAGTAGAGAAGGAAGATGTTATGCTTCCTGTGGCCTGCACAGACACCATAAAAGATGACCCAACAAGAAATGTTCCAGGTCAGGCACAGTGGCTCACACTTATAATCCCAGCACTTTGGGAGGCCGAGACAGGTGGATCACTTGAGGTGAGGAGTTCAAGACCAGCCTGGCCAACATGGTGAAATCCCGTCTCTACTAAAAATATAAAAATTAGCCAAGTGTGGTGGTGCATGCCTATAACCCAGTTACTTGGGAGGCTGAGGCGGGAGGATCACCTGAACCCAGGAGGCAAAGGTTGCTGTGAGCCAAGATATAATGCCACTGCACTCCTGCCTGGGCAACAGAGTGAGACTCTGTCTCAAAAAAAAAAAAAAAAAAAAAATTGTCCTGAAAGGACCCCACCCAAGAAGCCTAAGGGCAAGGGCAAGGTGGTGTCAGAAGAATGCGGGGTTTAAGTTGCTTCCCCAGAGTCATAAGAGGTTAGTCAAAGATTGGAGAAGTGTGGAAGTCCCCATGGGAGTCTTGAAGAACCCACCAATAAGACCCTCAACAAAGAGCTGGCATGTCAGCATCTACCATACATAACTGGTCGCTTATGACTGCTGTTTCACTCTAATCTTTCATTCTTCTCATTCTGACCCTAGAGATGTCAGGCAAACAGAGAAAGAAGGAGGAAGAAAAGGGAAAGAACACATCACTCCTCCTTTTCCACGCTGATCCCTGGATGAGACCTGAGCTAGAGGAAAGGGAAAGCTTTGATTTCCATAGAAGTTTTTATCTAGACTGGACTGCATTTTTAAAATACTTAAATATGAAGCTATTCAAATCCCTGAAGGCAAAGGAAAGCTATGGAACATCAAAAGGCTAGGAATGGGGATCCAACAGAATTTGTGTAAAGAAACTGGTAGAAATTTTTCAAGTCGTTTCATGATTGTGCCCTACTGCATTGCATCCATTTTAGAAAATGCTTACACTTTTAACTGTTTAATCTTTCATATCACACAAGCCTCACCTTTGAAAAAAGGCCTTCTGCCTCTATATTATATCCTTTAAGGTCCTCGTGTAAGTTCTGCAAACACTGTATGACTCTTCTTTGATGTTCATCATCCTTTAGCTCATGAGCTTTGATCAGAAAATCATAGTGGTCCAGAGGTCCATGGCAAACGGCCAAAGCTTTCAAATAAGTCTCTGAAGTGGCAGTTGGGGCCATGCTCTCAGATGTCTGAACTGTATAGGCTATAAACAAAAACATATAAAATTTTAGACTTTCTTAAATACATTTCACAGTGCTCTACATGTTTCATAAGGGTCAAATTCAAACTTTTAACTAGTTACATCTATTTGAGCAGTTTTTGTAAATGTCATTTTGATAAAAATAATATAAAATACATTTTCAGCCAGGCATGGTGGCTCACGCCTGTAATCCCAGCACTTTGGGAGACCAGGGCAGGTGGATCACTTGAGGTCAGGAGTTCAAGACCAACCTAACCAAATGTTGAAACCCAATCTCTACTAAAAATACAAAAATTAGCCAGGTGTGGTGGGGCATGCTTGTAATCCCAGCTACTTGGGGGGCTGAGGCACGAGAATTGCCTGAACCTGGGAAGCAGTGGTTGAAGTGAGCAGAGATTGTGCCACTGTACTCCAAACTGGGTGACAGAGTGACACTCGGTCTCAAAAAAAAAAAAAAAAAATTAAACAATGAATATATTTCTAATTGTTTTAACAAAAGGGAATAAACCCCAAACCCATAAACTATAATTGTAACCTCTCTTCCAGAAGGCCTATTCCTACTACAGCTTCTGCTTTGCTTCCAGTCCACTAAAAGAGCCACTGGTGCTCCTCATCTCCTTCCCAAAGCAAGAGAGTCGCCTTTCTTTGACTTAGCCCTAATTCTGGTTCTTAAGCACCAAGGCAGAGACATCAAGATTAGTCCCAAGGGTTTTCCACTGCTCCTTAATTCTCTACCCAAAGACAACACAACATTCAGATATTACCACATCGATTTCAGCCCTCTGCTTCTAAGATATTTTTCTGTTTTCCATAACCTTTAGGGAGTTGGACATGGAGTTGAGACACAGCAAGAGTGTCTGCTTCAAAGCAGGGTGGTGTTCTGATCCTATTTTTAGCCTCTCCTGGGAGAGAAATGATTGTGGCGACATCCAACCATAATTCCATTCCTTATCTGGGGCAGGTTTAATGAGCAGCTAACTCCTTCTCTACTGTTTAGAAGCAACAATAAACAGCAGCAACCTGGCATATTTTTCAGAACAAGAGTTCCCAAAGGTACTCTGCCAGCATTTTATTCATTTCATTGAACATTGTGTTTCCTTTATCACAGTAACATAAAAATTACTTTAGTGAAAAGAATTAACAATCACAATGTTAGGTCCATGTTTTCCCCCAAAAGAGGGGGAAAAGTCCTTAAATATACTATGAATGTTGGAGATAGGGACGGCTGTCTTCCATTATTTGTTCCCCCTTTCTAAATAGAAGTTTTAGCTGGATGCATGGCTGCCCAAATACATATTACATCTCCTAGCCTCTCTTGCAGTCAGGTATGGCCATGTGAGCAGGTTCTAACAATGGGATATGAGTAGAAACGTGTGTAGTTCTGATATACCCCATTAAAGGAAAAGGGCCTATCCTCCTGGCTCCCTTTTCCTCCCCTCTCTCTAACTGGAGTGAAAATGTAATGACTGCAGCTGGAAGAGGCAATGAGATGCACACAGAATGTTGAATAAAGCAGAGCAACAAGATGCACAAAGCCTGGTTCTCCAACAATGCTGAGCTGCCAAACCAGCTCTGGATTGCCTACCTGGATTTTTATGTAAAAGAATAATCAACTTCTGGCCAGGCACAGTGGCTCACACCTGTAATCCCAGCACTTTGGGAGGTTTAGACGGGCAGATCACTTGAGCTCAGGAGATCGAGACCAGCCTGGGCAACATAGTGGGACCTCATCTCCACTAAAAATAAGAAATTTAAAAAAAAAAAATTTTTTTTCATTAGCCAGGCTTACAATTAGCATGTGCCTGTAGTCCCAGCTACTTGGGGAGGCTGAGGTGGGAGGACAGCTTAACCCTAGGAGTTTGAGGCTGCAGTGAGCTATGACGTACACCACTGCACTCCAGCCCGGGCAACAGAGTGAGACTCTCTCTCCAAAAGAAATAAAAAGTGAGTAATGAACCTCTATCTTGCTTTTAAAGTAGTGTATAATTGGGGTCTCTGTTACAGAAGCCTAAGTTGTACCCTAACTGATACAGGTGCTTAAGGCCTGTAAAAGAGAATCTAAGGGCATCCTGGAACACTGGGCCTCACAGCACCGGGATAAGGTTTGGGTTCAATGTTGAAGCTAGAGATGCAGGTTGAGAGTTCCTAAATGTTCCCGGCAATTTGAGATATTTGCCAGTGTGACATAATAAGAAATATATTTGATCTTTGTCCCTGTTCCTCGGCACAGAGTTCCTAAAACCCTTGGAATTTCCTGAATAATAGGAGTGTTTTCTGTTTTTCATTGCATCACACCTGAGTTTATGTTAAGGAGGTGACTCTAGGGTGAGGCTGGTAGCCGGAAGGACCAAGTGGGTAGAAGGTTGGAACTTGCAGCCCCATGCACTGACCCCAAGAAGGTGGGGCTAGAGATTGGCTCTGTAAACACTCAAGGAGACTTGGAGAGCTTCTGGGTTGGTGAATGCATCTAGGTGCGTTCAACCTCTAGGTATCCCCGTAGGCATCTCTTCTATTGGGCTCCCTGAGTTGTATCCTTTATCACAAACCAGTAAGCATAAGCAAAATTTTCCCCTGAGTTCTGTGAGCTATTCTAGCAAATTATCAAATCTAAAGGGGAGGAAGGTTATGGGAATTCCCAAATTTGTAGTTGCCAGGTAGATATGTTTGTAGCCTGTGCACTCCATTTGCAGCTGGCATGTGAAATGGGGGTATTCTGTGGGACTGAGCCCTTTTACTTGTGGGATCTGATGCTCACTCCAAAAAAAGAGTGTCAGAATCAAATTGAACTGTTGAATACCCAGTTAGTGTTACAGGATTTGAGAATCTCACAAGAGAAAAACACTCTTCTCTACCCCCTCTTTTAGATTTCTGGAGTCAACCAAGTAAGAAACTTCAGAGTGAGTACTGATACATTCCTCTCCTTCCCACAATCCTGTTCTCCACTCCTCAACCAGGTTCTCAGCCAATCAATCATCGATGCTACTCAATTTTGTATGTGAAATACTCTCTAATTTATTCCCTTCTCTCCTTCCTCATCCTACCACCCCAGCTTGAGCCCTTTAAAGGAAGCAGGGTCTCTCTTAGGGCCTGCCATGCCCCCCCAATGTGGAAAAGAAAAATCTGGAATTCCTTCAAGGGAAATTCCAGACACCTAGCTAGCCTTGAGAAGTAAATGAGCCACTTGATAAGAAGATAATAGGAACTCAAAATAATGGCCAAGGAAGTTAGAGATGTTCTCCATAAAGATAACATCTTAGTATATGTCACTGAGTTGTTTTTCAGAAACTACAACCCCTACCAAACAGATCCACTGGCACACAGACCTCAGATAAGGGGGAACTGAGGACTGAATTCTGACCACTGTTCTTTGTTCTAAATTTCTTCCTGAGGGGCCTGAAGGAGGCTATGCTCATGAGCCAGAGCTAACATTCTTTTCTGTTGACCCCAAAGTTTTAGACAAAGCTTCGTTTCCTTAACCAATTGCAAATCAGAAAATCTTTTAATCCAGCTTTGACCTCCGGGCCACTCCCTTCAAGATATCCCACTATTTTAGGTCAAATCAATGCATAGCCTCCACGTACTGATGTATGACTCTGATCGCCACCACTGTGCCAAATTTACCACTACCACGATCTGTAAAATATCTTCCACCAACTCTAGGGCTGATCTTACTAAAATCCAAATGTGATTTTATCAATCTTTGGCTTGAAATTCATCTCATTGTTTAAAGGAGCGGTCTTTAAACTTTATTTTAATAGCCATACAGTTTTTACATAAAAAATGTTCCATAGAATCCTGTTTATTAAAGAGAAAAGTGGGAAGGTGGGCACAAAGTCCCACCCTCTTCAGATTCCCCTCATTCACATACTCACACCACCCTATTTCCCAACAGCCTCACTTTAGAGGATGATATTTAGTACAAATAATGTGCAGAAAAGGGTTAACACAACAGGCCTGAGACTACCATCCACAGAGCATATTTACTTATGTCTCAAAATAAATAAATAAATAATACCTAATTTTTAAAAGTTGAGGCTGGGTGGAGTGCTGCACATCTGTAGTCCCAGCTACTTGGGAGGCTGAGGCAGGAGGATCCCTTTAACCAAAAGTTGGAGGCTGTAGAGCACCATGATCATGCCTGTGAATGGCCACTGCACTCCAGCCTTGGCAGCATAGCAAGACCTCATCTCTAAAAAAAATAAAAATAAGATAAATAAAAATTGTTTTGGCCAGGCACAGTGGCTCACGCCTGTAATCCCAGCACTTTGGGAGGCTGAGGTGAAAAGATCACCTGAGCCCAGGAGCTCGAGACCAGCCTGGAAAACATAGTGAAACCTCTATCTTTACAAAAATAAAAAATAAAAAATAATTAGCCAGGCATGATGGTATATGCCTGTAGTCCTATAGGGATTACTACTACTAGGAACTACTGCTACTCGGAGGGCTAAGGTGGGAGGATAACTTAAGCCTGGGAGGTTGAGGCTGCAGTGAGTAGCAATCATGCCACTGCACTCCTGCCTGGGTGACAGAGCAAGACCCTGTCTTAATTAATTAATTAATTAACTAAAAATTGTTTAAAAGTTATTCATAGGAAATATCAGTATTGTGGGCAAAATACACTGTTTCTCTTGGCATCTGCCTTTGGAGAGGCTTAAAGTATTTATTTTATTTTCACTAGCCTAACATCTTGATTTAATAGCGTAGACTTCATTCCCAGTTTTCAGAAAAGAAAACCAAGGTACAGTGAAGATGAGGCATAAATTCAGCTAATCAGCAGAGATAAAAAGAGAATCAGTCAGGCAAGATACTCAAGGCTGACAGATTGGCCAGCTTAGCCCTGGATAGCAGCTGTATAAATTGAAATACAAAAGACTTCTCAAAAGCTGCACTAAATTAAATCTGTGACTACATCAGTGTACACAAATTATGTGATGCTGCTGCCATATTATTTTGATTTGTATTAATTTGTCTTATTGTACTCCAAATGGACAGTGGGAAAATGC